TTCAGTCTTGACAGTGACACATACTGGTTTAGTTCGGCACGTTCGACTTCGCAATCTTCAAAGTTGCTTTGCCACGAAATAACAAGCTCATACCATGTGAAAATCCGTTGGGGTGTGTTGCACGATGAGTATTGACGTGTTTGGATTCCCTGGCATTCTAGAAGATCAAGGTTTTGATAATGCTTACGCCATCATTCCAGCTATGATTACCAGTTGGAGTGGAAACCAAATTGTTCTCCCATCATTGTCTGCCCCTGGTCTTTCAGGGAGCGCGATTGTGTGCGCCAAAACGGGAGTACCAGCGGAATATCGTGGTGGTGGGCTTGATGGCTCAGTAAAGAACGAACAGTATAAATCCCATGGCTACACATTTCATGGAATAGTCCCCAAATTGCCGTCATCGTTGCCGCGATCAACCCACAGTTCTAAAAGGATGAGCTTGAGTGCGTCGACGTTTGAACCACTGCTGTTCCTGAACACTCAATTTCTGAGAAATTCTGATAATTGACGTCCACATTCTCAATTGAACTTGAGGATCCACGAGAGACAAGTCCATCGGCATCCATGTGCCATCTTTCACGGCACGTACCGGAACCACCAGCTTGTGGACTTGGTCTTCACCTGGTTAGAAATCATCGCCAAAGAGAATGGGCTTGTTGATATACAGTGTGGATCTCATCTGCACGTAGCGTTGCAGGAGTTACACGTTAATCGAGCGCCACAGAAGCTACGCCGGCCTTATTTAGCCAAGCGCCACAGTAGCTACGCCAGTCTCGTTTTGCCATGTGTCTTGGCCAAAAAGAGCTCTGATCTCTCTACGTCGATGCCCTTGATATCGTCCGGCTTTTCCGCCATTATTGTCGTCTTGAGGTCTCCCACCAACTGATCCGGATCAATGTCCACAGGAAACGCATCACCTGCCGCGCCAACGAACGCACAGATTTGCTTCACCGTATTTACTCGAGCCAGTAGATTTTGGAATGAGTTTTTTAAGATAGGGAAAACCACTGGTATGGACGTGACACGGATGTGTGACACATAATGATGAGTTTAAATGCTGGCGGCGAATATAGAAAAGACGTGGATCTCGCTATAAGCCAAAATACAGTAGAACCTGTCTAAATTAAACCTGTTTAATTCAAAACCCTTTCTAAATTGAACAAACAATATGGACCCATGTTGGGCACCATACCTGAATAAATAAGTATGTTACACTTTTTTATTTGAAACCCTCTCTAAATTAAACACTGTTCCCCAAACCCACCATGTTTAATTTAGACAGGTTTTACTGTATCAACTTTTTATTTATCAAAAACTCGTGACTATAAAAGACTCCCAATATGTACGTACACATAATAGGGAAAGTGTTATAGGATTTGTGTGGCACATTGTGTGTAGCGAAAAGATATTTGAGCGTGACCCCACCCAAAGTATGAAAGATATTCATCAGAGGCAAGAACAACGAGTTTAAATATATTGACACCATATACCATTGTCACAATTTTTCCTCGGCTTCTTCATCGAGTCCATAAGCACATTATTTAAGTATCATGATGAACAATCATAATTTGTACTGGAATGATCTGCTGATAACAAATGC